TACAGGCGTCTGCCTTAGTAGTGCCTGCATATTTGAAGGGAAATATTTTTCATCGTCATCATCAGCAGCACCATCATCATCATCACCAGCATCGTCACCATCATCACCAACATCATCGCCAGCAACATCATTATCATCATCAGTAGCACCATCACCAGCATCATCCTCTTCATCAGCAGCAGCAGTAATTAATCATCTGCGTGTCATCATCAGTTGGAATGCTGTCCTCGTTAATTGTCCAACGAGCAGCAGAGCCCCTCTCAAATTATTCCCATTGATTATCTCCTCCATCACTTTCTTCTCATCCTGCTGCTAATCATCATCATCATCATCGTCGTCGTCGTCGTCAGTCGCTTCTCCGTCTCTTAATTAATTTCTTATAATTAAGTATTATTAAATGAAATCATTAGATGATATATTCGCACTTGCCTGTGAAATCAGATGAGTCTACTAGAGTGGCTCCATGCCGCCTGCTACATTCCATCACTTTCCATTACCATCAAAGAATTTTCTGGTATTCTGATGCCATATCTATGTGCATTATGTAATGCATCACTACAATCGTCATATCTGCCGGAGAGTCAAAAAAGGGCTATCATACTTCCTGGCTAAAAAAGGCTGGTTCCGATGCGTGTGATGTTAGGAGCTATCGGCCGATTTCAAACCTCACGTTTGTTTCCAAGCTCATTGAAAAATTGGTGGCCAAACAATTGATCGCATACCTGAAATTAAACCGACTTTTCCCTGAACTTCAATCAGGTTTTTGCTCTGGACGCTCAACTGAGACAGCGATACTAAAGGTCTTCAATGATGTTTATGAGGCTATTGATTCTGGTAGTATCTCTCTCTTGGCTCTGCTCGATGTCGGAGCTGCTTTCAATACGGACAACCACAAGCTCTTTCTTGATCGACTTGCAAAGTCATATGGCTTGGGGGAATGGTCCTTGCCTGGTTTGAATCCTATTTGTCTGACAGATCGCAAACGGTATGTGTTGATGGCTCTGATCCTGCTTCCTCCCCACTGTTGAAAAGAGTTCCACAGGGATCAATTCTGGGACCCCTGCTCTATGTTTTCTATACGGCAGATATTGTGGAAGTTGTTGAGTCATCGGGTTTGAAATGTCACCTTTACGCAGATGATATACAACTGTATAGTTACTGTAATATCAAAGAAAGACAGGAACTAGCGGACAGAACTCAAACAGGTATCAGAACTGTCTCAGAATGGATGCTGGCAAATGGATTGAAGCTGAATATTGACAAGACACAATACATCTGGTTGGGTACTCGTCAAAAATGAACTGGTATTTAGGAATATGTAGAGCCAGTCAAAAATCTTGGTGTTTGGATAGATCCTGAATTGAAGATAAATAAACATGTGAAAAATTTCTGCCGATCATGTTTTTACCAATTGCGCCAAATCAGACGTATAAAAAAGTACCTGACAAATGAATGCTTAATTTCATTGATGCACAGTTTCATTTGTGGAAGAATAGATTACTGCAGTTCAATCCTCTATGGTGCAAGCTTGTATCTTCAAAACTGCATACAGTCTATTCTGAACACTGCAGCAAGAATAATTGCTGGTGTAACAAAATAGGAATCTGTTTCATCATATATGCGAAATGAGCTTCACTGGTTGCCAGTTTGCTATAGAATCGAATTCAGAATAGCAATGTTTACAAGAGACAGTTTGATGGGGCTTGGTCCTCGATACCTTCAACAGCTGATCGTGCCTGTCCCTACGACTACCGGGGGGCGAAAACTCAGATCCTCTGCCAAAAAGAAACTCGTTGTTCCTAGGTTCAGGACAGAAAATTATGGACGGCGTAGTTTCTCCGTGGCTGCAGCGGAGGTTTGGAATAAACTGCCCGATGATGTCGTTGATAGTATGGATGAGAGAGACATGTTCCGAAAACGACTTAAACATCACTTTTTTGACCGGCAGCTTCTCGAACAGCGCCTCTGAGTTTTACACAGAGGGGCGCTATATAAATTCTCCATACCATACCATACCATACTTTCAACGCTTCACAACGAACGCGCAAGACATTCGGCGTTTGAAACATCAAAGTCTTATAATTATTTCAAAATGCAACCATGTTGACTGCTTTTTTCTTTTTAGATTTTTGTTATTGAAATATATTTTGCCAAATTGTCATTCTTTCGGAGAATTGTTAAACACATCGCATGTGGGAAACTTTCAACAAGCTGCCATAAATTTGCATCTGTCACTTGCGTCTAAATTATTCACAGCAGCCCCGCACGTTTCTCCGGCAAACTCTCTTTTAAATTTGTTTTATTTCTTGTTTTGATCACGATAATACGCTTCGTTTGGAGGCATTATTTGTTTGTCCGCTCATTTTTCCGCGCATTTATATTTTGGGAATATATTTGTGAGTGTGTGTGAGTGTGAGTTTGCATGGGTTAGCGGTTCTCCTTGCAGATATTGTGCTTGTTTTTATTTCTGCGATTGCATTTATGAGCGCTTCTTGCCAGTTTCTTTGTGCTTGTGAGCTTAAATGATGGCTTGCTTTATTATCATCATGGCCATTTTTCTCCATTGCGTTTCTTTTCTTCTCTAGTCAAATGACAAATTAAATTGTTTTTTCTTGTCACAAAGAATAAATGTCACCTACACAGTCACACACACACACTCATACTTTCTCTCTCTTTTTCTCTTTCTCTCTTCCTCTCACACACACACGCCCCACAACACACATCACATACACTATACTAAGCCACATACAAACGTAGACACAGGCAGATACACACGTGCATAAACACACACAAAGACACAAAAACATACATACCCACCTACATTCACAATTGTTTGACATATGGAAAATAGAGATTGAGAGTTAGATAAAGCCTGGCCAGATATATTGGACGTTATTTTAGTTATAATGGTTTTCTTCTCTTTGAATTAATTAATTTCGAAGCGATAATAATACATTTCTTTAAGAAATTTGTTTGCGTCAGGTAAGATAAATAATGAATTTGTTTGTAACGTTTTGTTGTTTTTCTTGACTTTTGAAAAGCATGCATCATCATTCAACTTTCACGAAATGATGTTAACGAAGCTTACTGAAAATGTTATTGTTTTAAAGGTCATATATGAAAATTTAAATCAAAATTCTGAAAAATGAAACGCAACATCACAGTAAAATCATTTTTCAGATAAAAAAGAAATTGATGCAGATGAATAGCTAAGTGACTGAAACATAATCAAGCAACAACAAAATAAATAACATGGACTTTTCAAAGGAAGTTTTCGTGAGCAAGATATTGACAGAGTTGCCGAAGCTTCATCCGAGCTAATGAAAAATTTGTTAAATGTTTTTCATCATTTTGTTTAGCAAATTATTTAAAAAATTGAATAATTTGAAAAATCAAAACAATTCCTTTTCGATAAAATTGTTACTCACATCAGCCCTAAATCCCTCCAAACGTGAGTCAGAGCAGTCTGCTCGTGTACGTCTCTTACATATACTATTCATTATTCAGCAACAATAATTACCAAATAATAAAATTATTGTATTAAAAAAATTTAATTTGTTTGACGTTGATATATAAAAATGAAAAATGTAGTTTTATTAGGTGCTGAATTAAAAATTGAACGAAATGAATTTAGCTCATCAAAAGTTGAGAAAGAAAGTTACTCGTTAAAAATGACAAATATATTTGCACCTGCATCTGCATCTTTGTAGCACCTCTCAGAACAATCCTAAGAAGCGTCTTCTAAGGCAGCGGTTTTCAACCTTCACTTGTTGTCCGCGGACATTTGCCTGGTGGTCTACAAGCAAAGTGTGAAGTGCAAGTTTTTTTAATAACAAAATGAAAAAGATGAACTTCGATTGAGTTTTTTGAGCATTACGCCTTGTTTGGATAAGCTTGCTCAACTGTGCAAGTTCAAGGCTCACACTAAAATTAAACGTAGCATTATTTCTAATGTACGTGTCACGTTAAAAAAAATCAGCTTTTCATTGCTATTCATTATTCTTTTATTTAGCAAGTGACATTTGTTCATTGTAAAGGATGCAATTACAATTTGTTTCATATTTGACATAAAAATTGATGATACGCCAGATACGCCGTGAGATACGGTGCATGCAAACATCAACGTAAAACGAACATTATACTTTTTAATTTGAAGTTAAAACATTTATTAAAATATATAATAAATAATTTTAAACGACAATTTTAATACACTTACAATCAAGTGTGGTAACTGTAGTTCTCTAAGTCTTATAGTTATACTAAGAATTATGTTATACTAACTATGTGTAGTTGTTGTATATATTATGATAATTATATAGCAAAATTTTCAGTAGTGGTCCATGGCTGAGACACTCATTTTAAAGTTGTCCTTGAATCTCAAAAGGTTGAGAAGCGCTGTTGTAAGGTGCACGTCGTCAAAATAATCCAACCAACTATCTTTCAACTGCACGGGGGTGAGTTCGTAACTTCAAGGCCAACACCGCAAATCTCCGTCTTCCAAAGTTAGAACTTCGTAAGCGGGACTGGCCAAACCATCATGACTTAATAGCCCCGGTTGACTTCGTTCCCTCGACAGCGGCACCAGCTGTTCACTTACACTAAACGATGTCTCACCGGCCAAACATTCCTTGACCGACTTTGCAATTGAAGTGTATATAGAGGGGTTTGTAATACCCGTTTGTAAAATAAAAATGCAATTTTTTGATCAGCATTTTGACTCAGACTGCTTAATGAGTTTTCAACAATCTTCCAGCACCAGTGCACTGGAACACGGTTCAAACTTTGAAACGAGCCTGGTGAATGCCTCTCAACTTAGAAATAACTGTGACGTGGAGGTATTTGAAATGGAGAAAGTAGTTAACAGTTTAAAACATTCTATTCGTTATTGGAATGGAATATTTCTTATATATCAATCATTTGTGTAAGAATTTATTCAAAGTTGTTAAAAAAATAACGGATAGAAATTAAAATCTGCTTTTTAGTTTTGATATGTAACCCCACTGGATATGGCGATGCAAGTACAGTACGTGTCATGCGCACCGCTGCATTGCCAAAAAACAAATTAACTTCAAATTGAACTAATTAACTTTTAATTAAATTTATTAACTTTAAATTGAACTAATTAACTTTATAAAACGATTTTTGTGAGCTGATGCAAATTTCAGAATTCAATTTCAAATCCACAGAACAAGATAAGCATTGAAAGTTGGTTTGGTAGGAATAAAAAAAAATTGAACAATAATTTTAATGTTCCGGAGTTGAACAGGTTGTTGATCATTGCATTTTTTTATTGGCGGCACCGTAAAAGTTCGTTCTGTTGTCATTCGTCTTGTCGTTATTTCAAAATTATTTCTAATTAATTTTTTATTTTCCAATACAAAAGCGCAGGGTTTTCAATTGTTGATAAAAAAAACATATTAACACAAGAAAATGAAAATACAAATATATGAACACATGAACATGTAAACATAACATTCAGACATTTGTGTATACTCAACTAACTGTATTAATAAATGGGAAACACGTAATACTTTAAAACTAATTTAATATAAATTCTACATTTTTATTATTTTTAAAGTTCTACATAATTTTACTTTATATTATAAAGCATTAAGCGTAAACACGTCTTCATGGATACACAGCTCATATTTTATAAGGTTCAAATATTTTCAACATAATACTAAAAATAAACTAAACTAAAATAAAATAACATTTAATTTATGAAATAAGTGTTTCAATATTTTCTATTAATCTTGAAATATTATTAATTTATGCAGAGCTGGTTTTAAGAGAGCTTCAGGACCTTCATAAAAAAGATGCCTCCAAAAAAATTACACCATAACTTTTAGTTTTAACTAATTTTCTGATTGTTAAAATCCTCGATGTAAAAAAAAACAATTATTACAAAAAAACGGTCTCAATCTTTTGGTTTTATTTTTGAAATTATTTTCACAATCTTATCCCATATCACAAGTGATGGATCTGAAAATGTTTAAATTTTGGACGGCCGGACCAAAATTTTGAGGGGGGAGGCCACGAGTTTTACTGACTTTTATTAGAAATATTGCTCACAACGGGGAGGGCACTGATCCTTTTGTTTCCCCACCTAGATCCGTCACTGCATGCTTCTATTTGCTGGAAATAAAATTTTCTGTCATCGGTTCATAATAGCCACATTTTTTATGGACAAACTGCAACTTCTTCTTTCAATGTTTTTACGAAACTCTGAAAGCCGTTGAACAGTGAAATTTAATAAAAATAATAATGATAATAATAAAATATGTAATAATATTTATGACAATTATAACAAATTTTATAAAAAAAAAAGTTGTTGATCGAGTAGCAAAAAAATTAAGAAAAGTCATTCAAAACGTTTGCATCAATTTTTGTATTCCGAAAGCACCGTACATGGAAAGTTATTTGATGGATCGTGAGGCAAGCTGGCAGGATTACCTCACGTAATTGTACACTTTTCAAAATCTCACTCTCACGCAGATGCAACTTTCCAACTTTCTATCTTTCATTTCTTCTAACAATATTGAATTTATTTTTAATTTTATTTTAAAATTTGTTAGTGTTTTCGTTATTTAAATTAATAGAATAATGGCTGCCGAAACCATAAAGTTCATATCAAACCATGAAAATTGTTTTTGCAATATTTTCAAACTTATAATTAAATTTAAAAGCACTTAATAACTTTTCGAATTATTATCACTTTTTTAACAAATTTTATGATGCCTTTGTTCAAATTTTTATTAATTTAAAAAAAAATTTTTAACTGCAGTCACGTTTATTAATTTCTGTGCTGGCAGGTGAAATTGTTTAAAAAATGCCATATCGTAGATGTAAAAATCTACTTGCTCTCAAAAGTTCGGCTTAATTCTCAGACTTCAAATGGTATTACAATTTTAAAACAGTCGTAATTATTACCTTGTGATTCATTAAATTGTGGCGAAGTTCAATGTAGGTCATTTAAACGAACTATCATACGGTACAATCAAAAGAATTATATTAATAGTTGCTTAAAAATGTGCCAACATTGAAACAACAACAATTCTTGCAACTACATGAAAACATTCAAAACCGTTTCTTAGATAATTTTATGAAAATTAAAAAAATTTTTAGTGTTGCAACTTTCATCTGACAGGAGTTGTGCAAATGTAAGCATGTAGCGAGAGTACAAGAGATAAAGCACATTAAAGTCAGAAAGTCTCAAATTATATTGGTTCTATTATGCATTAACCCATTAGGCATTAAAACCAAAATAGCACTTTCAACAATTGCAAGTGCGCTTAGCATGAAGCTTCCACCATGTTTCACGATTCATTGGCCAGCTTTCTGAAAATTGTGAAAAATTATTTAGCCAATTTCGAAACTTTAACAGAAAATATTCTAACATAATTTTTGATATACAAATTATTTTAAAACAAACATTAATAAAATCTATACAATACAAATAAGATCACACCATCTACCATCCATTCGAGTCGCCATGCCATCTGTTCTGAACTGAATGAACTTTGCCGATGCTTCAGAATGAACCATATTTTGCCGATAAAAAATTGCAGGAGCAATCATTAAATTTTTAAAACATTCAAAAGAATTAATCACACTAAAAAATTTTTGAATACTATTTTTTCTTCAACAAATCAAACTGCAAAAAAATGCCCTTCAAAATTTATAGGCTGACCGAATAAAATTTTCATCGTTCTGCGTGTGACTGACATTTGTGGCGACCTCAACAAGACACGCATTCAACATTTTCGTTTTTATGGAACGTTCGAAAGTTTCAAATTCATTAAAATATTACTTACAACAGACTGTTTCATATTTTCGTAACAAATTTAATTAGTAAGGATTTAAATAGTGTTCAAATATTTAGAGCAATTCAAACAAAAATTTAGTTTAATATTTTAAAAATAATGATAAATATTATCTTTATTACAGTTATTGACGGCACTTTATAGGTTGGCGCAATTAAGTGCTTCGTAGATTTCGACTTGTCATTATCATTACCATCATTAAAATAAGCATCATAACGCTCGATTTGGCATCAGTTTCAGAGCAACTCCGAGTTTTATATCATATTTAGTTAAATTTTTCAAAAAAATTATCAATTGGTGTTTTCAATAGACTAAAAATTGTGGCTCACAATATCAGGAAAGGAGCGTTTAGTTCGATAATGTTTGTTAAGTTCGGCCACATTCAATTATATTGAGTAAAATGTTATTAAATTTTATTATGAATTATGAGTAAAATGTTATTAAATTTTATTATGAATTATATTTCTTATTAGAAACAGAACATCTGGTTTGAACTTGTGACAGAATTATTTCTGAAAAATGTCGACTTGCTTGATTCGCATCGGTCGACCATGCGAGCAGAATTTGATGACAAACGAAATGGACGTTCATGGTAGGTGATTTGCAGCGAGGCAATCAATCCACGACACTTTCGACAATTCAGCCATTTCAATCAATCAGTCAACGGCTTGATCGCTTGACCGATCATCCAACCAGCCAACCAACCAAATGTCTCGTAAAATATTAGCGTGATAGAAAGGTTAGATCAAAGTTCTCAGAGCTGAGAATGAAAAGTTACCGGTGTCTTGGCTGCCTTTTTGAAGCAATAAACCAACAAAAACATTGTTCCAGCAGAATTCATTTTTGTTTTGTTTATAGCTGCAAATGTTTTATAGTTTTAATTTTTCTGAGAATTCATTCTAAATTAATAATTTGTTTTTTTATTGTGTAATCTTTTTGGTTGTAGAAATAATTTGAAGTTATTGTGAATTTTTTTACGTCATGTTTTGCTCTTTTTGCTGCTTCTGCGTTTAATTTAATTTGTGGCTTTCCGGTTGACGTTTTGCTGGTGGCAGTTTCAAAATTTAAATAAATGTTTTGGGTTGTTATAGCTTCAATCATTTCCTTGATTTGCATGAGCATTTCAGTTTGAAATGTTGAATTATTTTCTTTTTTACCTGAAAATTATATTTTCTATTTTATTTGTCACAAAGAAATTTCATTGTTGATGTTGCTAGAATAAATTTTTTCAACAAAAAAACAAATTTTTGAAAAACAAATTAGTGTTTTTAATTTTATTTTGTGAAGCATAGCAAGATTCTTGAAAGAAGAAGTTGTACAACAGCTATAAACATTACAGGAAACCCAGGTTTTACGACCACAATAACAATAATAGCAATAATAATAATAATAATAATAATAATATAAATAATAATCTTGCTTGAAAGAAATTTTAAAAAATTTTGAATTTGTTGTTCCTTTTGTTTATACAACCTGCTCCGAAGCACATCTCAGAAACTAAACATGCACCGAACTAGCACCCGCCATTCAACAAAACAACAACAATAACAATTACAACAACAACAACAACATCAAAAATATCATAAAACAACCACAATAATATACACGAAACAAGCAAGGACAAAAACACTAATAAATATTTGCAACATATACAACAGCTTTTTAAATGTACAATTGTTGCTGTTAACAACACATTAGTAACCGCCAATCACAAAACAGCCACACAACAACAAACAAAGAGTGGCAGATCACAACTGTACAGCGAATAACTTGCATAAAAAAAATAACAAACCACTAAATGAAGCGTGATAAACATGTTACATTAATGCAGAGTAGATCACAACATACAGAATGATAATGAGCAACATAAACAACAACCACAACTACAACAGCGTTAACTGAAACAACTGCCACAACAACATTGACATCATTATCAAGGACATCACCGGCCATAAAACAACAACATAAACAGCATCACAAAAAAACACCAAAACAAATTTCATTCAATAAAAACAACAGAGTCACCAGACATCTGCAAAAATACCAACAACAACAATAATCAGCAACAAAGTAAACAACATTAGCAAAAATAATAACGACAACAAAAATATCAGTAACAACAGCAATAACAACAACGATGTGATCAACAGTCACAGAGGTTTATTTGTTTCATGTTGTTCTAGATGGAAAGAGTACCTCAAAGTGCCGCCCATTAAAAATTTGATGCTTCTCATTTCAATGTATGCACATCATCAGAGCGATCTCAGGCAAGCACGCTCTCAAGTAGAGACATCCTTTTACTTACATCATGCATACATTTGTTTTTATATATGAATATAAATGAATATGTACATTGTTTATATTTATAATACACGGACAAACTCGACAGTGTACTGATTTTTTATATTTTCATTTTTCTCAATAAAAATGCTATCAATTTAAAAAAAATTGTAACGACATTAATGTTTAAGATGATAGAAAATTGAATACAAATGTTCTGTAGAACTGATCTGAAGAGGAATTGGATGTGGTGGGATCATTAGTTGCTTGCCTCTCCATTCAGTGGTTCTGTGGCGGGCATCTGTAAGACTTGCTGCTGTTGGGGAGAAGGAGTTCAGATCTTGTGTTGGAAATAATATGCAAGAAAACATTCCTGAGAAAGAAATTCTTCATTGAAAACTCCAAACATAAAATATAAAAAGAATACATGAATTTTGCCGAAAAATGAAACTGACTTTGGTTGCGTCAGCCAACGTTTAAAACACTGAATCATGAATTTGAAACAAGCAACAGAAAATGTTATGCTATAAATAAGGCAGGCCTCCCTTTCAGATATGACCAAAAATTCTCTAAATAACATCTGCAATATAATATGTGACGTAATGCGGAAAGAGCGGGAGGGTTGGCAGCCCCTTTTGAGGGCGTTATTATAAATTTTCAAACATTAATCCACATTATCGCAAAACTCAGTATGTTTATCTTTTAGCAGAAGTGAGAGAATAGAATTGAAATATGGTCTATGGTTCAACAAACGTCGTAGCTATGGGAAATATAAAAAAAAAATATGAAAAAAGCCTGGAGACCTTGAGAAATAAAAGCCCAACGTAGGGCGTTGCATATGTCTCTTGGTGATCATGATTGCTTAAAAGCCATATTGGATAAATAAGGTGGGTCAATTAGCTGATGCTATGCTATGATATGATATGATATGATATGATATGATATGATATGATATGATATGATATGATATGATATGATATGATATGATATGATATGATATGATATGATATGATATGATATGAACAATGATCAGGTCGATGAAAACGAATGTGAAACATTTCGTTATCGCCATGATGCTTTTTATTTCAGGATCGTCGTCTTGATCCTCCTACAGTTTTGTCGACTGTAGCAAAAATTTCAAGAGGCGACGATAGGGGATTTGGCTCTCATGCGTTTCATCAAGTGATGTAGTCCTAGCGAAGATACAAAGTACCAATCAATAAGGACCAACAAAACAAACAAATCAATTAATTGGTCTGCGCAGTCTATTACAGTCTATTTTTAAACTCTTTCTTTATTTACTGGTGTTATTATACTGTGTATGTTTAAATTTAAGCTTAAAATTGTTTTAATACAAGATTGTGACGATGTATTACATAAAAATTTAGGACATTTTTTGATATTTAGCATCGAATTATGTGATATTTTATTTATGTTGTATTTGTTATTTATGACTTGAATGAAACCTGCTTATTCACCAGTCTTGTAGTAATACATAAACGTAAAAATATCTTAAGAAATATGTTGCGTTCACGTTTTATAATGCCCTCAAAATTCATTTCAAATGAATTTAAAAATTAATAATAATATTAATAAATAAGAACTTTTAGTCAGTTAGAAAATATTTCGTACCGACCTATTTTTTGGCCATTATGTTATATATCTATCAGGATATCTATCTCTGCAGAACTTTTCAGGTTGGTTCCTAGCTTGATGTATAAAATGATTATTAAAAAAAAATATTATCTCCATATTTAAAAAAGATTTCTCTGTTAGTGCATTAATAAACATGACAAGGTATACAGTAAAACTCTGTCCGTAAAAAACCATGAACTATTTTATTTTGTAAACTCTCGCCTGAAACACGCCGAGTTTTTTGCATCAGTATTTACTGGAAGCACACAAGGTCAAAAAGTATGATGGCGAGAGTCGTATAGTGTAGAATTTCGTGTTATCTTGTGTGCACGATTTTGCCGGCTTGGAAAGCATCCCCACATTTTGAATATAAAACAAATTTATATCTTTTTTATCTAACTCAGAACGATTCAATTTTTCTTATGTTCTGATACACTTGTTGCCCATTTCTTATCCATTCGCACTCTTTTATTCACTTGTGGTGTTCAGTGTTCATGATGGAATTGTTAAGAAGCAGCATTAGTTAGTAATTTTGTGTGATCGATCATGTTGTTGTGAGTAATGTTTTTTCAATCAAGACAAATTTGAAGTCGGTAGGTGTTTGTCTATTTTAAATGTTTTCTTTCACTTCTTCCTGAACGTTTTTCTTCTTGAAGAGATCTTTGAAGAGTTTTGTCGTGATTTTGAATTAAATAAAATCTAATTATTTATTTGAAAAGCAATAACGTTGTTCACATTTTCAACTAATTTAGTGATTGTTTTTATGTCAATTATTAAGACTGTTGATATTTTGAAACAAAACGATATTTATTAAAAAACAAATAATTTATTAATTGAAAATTAATTACCGTAACAATTTTAATAATGAAATTTAATCATTGTCTCCAGCCTTAAACATCGAAATAAATAAACGAACGAGCACTGGACAATAAGACGAGTACCACGTGTATAAACTGAATATTTTATGAAGACTTCCAATAAAGCAAGATCCATTTAAATTTACAACGTAATTGTTACACACTGAAGTAGTTAAAAATAGTTTAATCAGAAATTTAAATTATTAAATCATAAGACTGTTTTCGATGATAATTTTATGATAAATTAAAACGTTGAGACAGTAAAATTAAAAGATTTAAGTTTTTGTATTGCTTGCTTTAAATGTTAAAATTGATACATTATTATGCAAATATTATGAATTAAAATTTATTTCAAGACAAATTAATATCTTTTATTTCCAATATTTTTCAATTCTCTAAAACAATAAACTAAAATTTAAAAAAATGTTCATTGCAAATTAAGGAATATTGATATTGCGCTCCTCAAATTCAGGCGATAATCTTTGTTTATTTAGCAACGTTAAAATCATTAAAATCTTTGTTCGTTGTTTTCAATTTACACTCAGCTGATTAAAATGATGAACATCATTGTGCAAAAATGGCTGTTAAATTGACAATGAAAATCACATATTCGTGTTTTTTCATCATTTAAACGTGTATAAATCTAAAATTAAAAAAAATTCAAAATACAACTGATTTTTATTCGGTTTATTCCAAACTTTTCTGTATATTATTCGTAAAAATTGTTAACATGAAGTTGAAAACAAAAATGAAACCCACAGTTTTATTACCTTCAACCAACTGGTTATGAAATATTTTCAAAATGGTTTTGCCTTATCAAAGCAGTTAACGTGGCAAACTTTCTCTGCTATTTGTTTAATTTTAATATTTTATGCAGATGATGTTATTAACTTTCGACTAATTTGGAAAAAATCTCTATCATTGAAAATGGAATAACGCAAAACCATTGACCAACTTAATTGTAAAAACACCATAATCCATAATCACCAATATACTTGTTGAACGGCCACCACAATCACTTTGAATATTAGATTACCATAACAACTAATTTAACCAATTGTTAATTGACCATAATGACGAACGGGCTGCCAGGTACATCCCTATCTCCCCACTGAACCGTCAGATAATGTTCACCCTTCTCATCTGCGATGTACGTCACAATGTACACGTTCGGTTTGAACTTTTTGTACGAAAGCTCTTTCACTGGGTTGCCATTTTGCGAAACCATGGCAACAGTCAACAGGCCGTGACCTTTGTTTGATTGAACAAATTTTAGGTACAGCTAACTTGCGGTCAAAATTAAATAAACTTTTCACTGAACAATCAATGCCTGAATCAATTTTATCCAAGCAATGTATTTTTAAGCATTTTTCCATAGTTTAGAAATGTACTAAAAAATTATTATTCGCCATTATTATTCATTATATTTTTAAATTTTCATTCATGGATCATTTGAACGGCTTCTGACCTGCCTCCTTGATGTCTACGTTGAAGTTCATCGTCCTGTTGGCAATGCATTTTGGGTTCAATCCGTTCCCGTGCAGAACAACTTTGCTGGCGTTCCCCGTGAAATATTTGATCTTCGGTTTCCTCTCGCAAGTTTCAACACTGAGACTCGATGTTTCTATCTGTTCCGACGCCTCACCTGCACCTGTTCAGAGTTTTCATCATGTTCATCATCTTGTATCATTCATGAAACCGCTGACTATTTTTCTTTGTGCACAATATTTTATAAAATTAATCAACAAGCGGGTAATCTGTCACGTGCACTAGCAAAAACATTATTTAAAAAAATAATAAAAATTAATATTGTAATTTATAATTAAGCTGAATCAACTAATTATCATGAAAACAGGTAAAATATTTCTGATTGCTCTATGATTCCAGAAAACACGAACCACAACGTTCAATGAACGATACCTGACTAGCGAGCAACCACGAACAACGAGCAGTACTGGGCAACCAACAACACAGCAAATGTGTTGAGATGCATTCCCGATGAGGTTTTATATGTATGTTTAAATGAGTTTTATAATTATTATCGCATCCGTCTTCTATAGATAAAATTTATAAATTCATTTTTTTGTATAAAATTGACTTAAAAATGATGGTTTCAGCAAAAACGTTTGCCAAACTTTTCGAACGCTCTAAAATCAAAATTTTGGTTATTTATATATAACCAATGGCAATTTGTAAACATAATCAATGCGATTAACAACGTATAACAACGTATAACCAGTAACAACGGCTTTAAAGGGGCATCCAGGGACATCCACGTAACAGAAATTTAAATTGATCATGTAGTCACCAGGCGCTGTGGGTGTGTATTGAAACTCGTAACCATCTTCAGCTTCGTTGCACGTTATGGCGACCTTCGATGGGCCGTCAATTTTGGTTGCTAGTAAGCCCAGACCTGCACTTTCTGTGTTTACGACAAATTTGCTGGTTGACCCTGCAAGAAAAATTAAGCAATTTATTACGGTTTGGCTAAATTTGTATAACTAAAACGTTTGAAATAATCAAATATTGTTTTAAAAATTAATGTTAATAAAGCTGATCAGCTGACACAACTGAAGACTGCTAAATAACAACTCACCGACTTTCCCCTTGATCAAGCCATCTCCGGAAGCCCGCACTAGAGCCGGATCTGCTCCCAACTTGCCTATCAATATGGCGAAAGGACTTCCAGGAATATGCACTTCATTAAATGTCACGTGAACTCGGTATACTCCGTTGTCACGTGGAAGAAACTGGCATGACGTCACTTCGTGGTCAATCTCCTGCAAGATGAGCTCCTGCTTGGCCCCGTTTGGAGCAATGACGTGTCCATCGAATGAACCATTCTGACCGTTGTTGTTCACGCTGAATATGCAGGGCCTGTCAGTCTGTCGGTCAACATTTATAAAACTGCAACAAAATTAAATATTATTAGCTTCTTTCTGATAAAGTTGTGATCAGCGATGCAAGGATTGTAACTGAATGATAAAAAAGCGCAGTCAACATGCCTTTAAATAAAAAAATTAAAACTAAAAATTATATTTAGTTAAAGTTATAATTTTTTATACGATTTTATCTTTCCAAACTTTAGTTAGTTGGGTTCAATGACGTTATGCCATCTATACCGCATATTTGACTCAACAGACATGTATCATAAAATAGTTGATTAATTCAACAAATCTAACAAAAATTGACATAAAACCATGATAGCCATGAAAACCACAAAATAATTTTATTATTTTATCACAACATTATTAACCTCGAGTCCAGTTTCTTTCAAACTATGCACCGTCACCAATTTTGCACCTGGACATGCCTTGGGAGCCTTGATGCGTTTCGGAGATTTGATGACGTGTTCGCCGTTGAACATGACACCGAGACTGTACTCACCTGGCTCTTGCAGCTCGTACATTACGGTCACAAAGCCAGTCTTGGTATCGGTAAGTTCGATTTTCGCTTTCGACGGACCGTCAATACCAACCGACAACTGGCCAGGTCCACATTCGTGCACAAATATGTTGAAGTAATCTGAAAAATGATCAATTTTAAATGAAAAAGTAAATAACTTAGAAATAAAATTTAGCTTTGCGATTTTCTGATTGTCCTTTTGTATTTTTTTAGTTGGTCATATAATTAATCAAAAGCAAAATATTTTAACTTGTCTACAATCAACCTTTATTTTTCACTTCTGAGCGGCAAAAATTAAAAGAATAAAAAAAGCATAAACCAAGAAGCAGATTTTTAAATGAACAGTTGTTATATCGGCGTGATGATGTTCGCTTTGCTGATTGATAATAATAAACTTTGTGACTATAACAATGATGATTGCTTAGAATTTAGTACAAAATTAAAGTACCACTATATACAATATTCTGCTTACTTTTGGCTTCGATAATTCCATAATCAGCTCCCTGTCCAAAGAATTCAATTTTGTGAGCTCCTCCAAGAATTTTATCTGCAACAGTATACTGAAAAGGACTGCCTGAATACGTGGGTAAAGAAGTAGAAATATTGATTACGGTATAGTTGAGTTGGCCAATACAATTACCCAGCTTTGTTTTTTTAAATATGTACTATTATACGTCTGCATGTTATTACGGCGTTAAGGTGACGTATCGACTGAAACTGTCTGGCCCTGCATTGCATAACCGGCTCCAAATTTCTACAGATCGTCATAATAATTATTGAAATGAACTAATGCACGAACCACTCATATGAACTCCCTTCTGCTTCAGGCTGATGACGTTAATTCCTGCTTCGAATGGAGTCAACCTGACTTCAAACTGACTGCCCTCTCTGTCTCTAACTTCACATTCATCCATGGTGCCACTGGGTGTTGACAAAATTGCTGAGAGGTCCAAGGGGTTGATACCTAGCATTAAACATTTACAAAACGTTCCATCAATTTGAAGAATTATCACTATAAAATTTTACTTAAACGTCAGTTACATATTTTAAAAAACCATTCTAAAAATGGAAATGAAATCCATTTTAATTTATCAATCAAAAATAGAAAATCAATTTGATCGATAGATGAAATAAATTTGAAACCCGGCAAGTTGATGAGTAAGGAGGCGTTTGTTCCTGTTTTTGGAGGTTGCATTTCAGGCAGATCAATGCTCGCCACTTCTCTCTGCTTTCCAGATGGTTCACCAGTGACGCTCAACATGAAAGGACTTCCTGAATTGTTGGTGGAAGATTGTTGAGGAGAACATTCATGCAATAAAGACATCCATATATTTATTACATAAGATAAATTTCCACGGTTAGCAAACTAATATTATTGTATCTAAAGTGCGTTTCCAAAAAAAATTTATACAAAAATTATTTTGTAACTGAGAGGAGTGATATAAACTTGAGTACCAGTGACGTGGTCTGGCCCGAATTTGATGTACATGACGTAGATGCCTGGCTCGTGGGGTCTGTACATTATAATGATGTTCTCTCCCAGTCCGCAGGTCTTCGACTCTAAATCAAATCCATGACTACCTTCAACGCTTATTGATAATGCTCCGAAGCCTAAAATTTTGTTGAAAATGAAATAATTACCGGTTGTTTTTGAACCTTAGAATAATAAAATAATTACGATAAAAAATTCCAATAAAAGAATAACAAATTGATTTATTATTGGAAAACTCTATGGCATTGAAAATACTTATGTCAAAAACCAAACAAATTTTGAAGGCTAGTCGACGAATGAAAATGCTTTTTATCGTATGTTTAATTTTTTTATCTTCCCTTTTATTTTGCCACTTGCCACTTATAAACATTAAAAAGTCAATTAAAACAAGTTTTTGGCAAATATATCATCACATCACCACTAATGAACTTTAAAAAGTCAATTAAAACAAGTTTTTGGTAAAAATATCATCACATCTTCAACAAAAATTTAATCGCATCGTTAACTGAGAGATGGTGAACTAACCGGCATCGCACAAATTGAGGTTGATCTCATTCCACACGCCAGCCTCTGCTTGACTTGTGGCACCAGAAACTTTGACCTTGGTGGGGCTGCAGAGTTCAAGGTCACCGACATGGATTTGAAAAGGACTTCCCATTACATTGTCACCCTCCTGCATCACCTCCACTGTGTACACGCCTTTACGTTTCGGCTGAAATGAGGATATGCCTAAGCAGATTGAACGTGTTTCATGTAAACATTTGCCTCACACGTTGTAACAGAAAACGTTTATTTTGGTTGAGGTTTAACAGTAAATATTTTTCGCAAACTCATTTTTTTTAATTTTTATGTTTTCAAACCAAAATCTATTATGCTTAGTAATGTAATTTTTTCTCAACATGTTTGTATATCGAGTATAAATTAACATTAGCTGTTTATCTTTAAAAATTGAACGTTACTTAACATTTTAAAGATTACTAAATTTTAAAAAATTATTCATTATTATTAAAATTTATTATTCAATTTGGTTTATAATTTTTGTAGAAACCTAATTTTCGATTTGGCATCCTCTTCAACATCACAGGAACCACTTCGCCATCTGGTGTTTTGATCTGCCCTGAGAGGTTGGCCAAGTTAATATCTGGCCCTCCAAGCGTGTAGTCACTGAAGGATGGAAGTGTGATCACTGACTTTTTGCGACCATCACCTGAAATATTTTCAAATTTTTCTGAACTGGTACGTTTGATTTGTACTTTCAATAATATATGTATAAAGTTTTTACGCTATTTTATTTTTATTTGATTCCACATAGGGATGAGTTTTTATGGATTGTTTTTCCCTTTAAATGATGAAAATTTTAAACATCTTGTTGTGATTTATAAATGTATTCTAATTTTTGGTTTTTTGACAGCTACTAAAACATAAAATTAAATAAATTTTAACCGGAAATTTTAGCTAAAAACGGCGAGCCATGAATGTGTTGTCCACATTTAACAATGTTGATGTGATACTCGCCACTGCTGACCGCCACGTACGAGCAAACAATTTGTCCGTGGTTATCAACGTGTTTGTCCAAGTTGATCATTCCTTTTGGACCTTTTATGGTCACCTCAACATCATCTGAAAAATTTTGTAGAAAGCCGTACAATAATATGAGTTAGATTTATCAAATACAATGCTAAAGATGAAATTTTGATTTTTTTTTTGACTTACAAATCCAATCATAAAATAAATAAATTAAGTAATTACTATTTTCAATCATATTGCCTAATAAATAACATTTGTGTTTCAATCTTTTTCAATCAGCCATACGGCAATAAAGTTGAATTGTTAAATGTTCAACAAATTAGTTTATATCGTAAATTTCCAAAAATATTTGTTTGGAATCCCGGTTATCGGAGGAACCGAAAACATCACAAATTCTAGCTCAACCTTAACATGATACAATGGCGTTGAAAAGGGAGAATTCACTAAGATTACAAACAATAAAACATTGTAAAGTAATAAAATAATAGTTAATTATGAGCCACATTTAACGCAAATGTACATATAAATACCTATCCAGTCATAGAAATTATTAGTGGTCTGCAAAAATAATATGAACCAAAAAATCAAAAATGTGATCACAACATTATGAAATGATGTTCAAGGAAAAAGAAAACAAGACCAGTGAATTTGGAAAACTATCTTCAAAATTTTATTTACTTTGTTTGAATTTATAAAAGTAAAATTGTTCATCTAAATTTAAAATAAAAAATGGTTAAAACGGTTCAATGAAGATTTAAACTTACAGGTTGTTGAAATACAAAGCACTACACTTAAAATGTTTCAGACATGTTATAATTATCCTCCAAAAAAATAACTGAAAAGACTAAAAATGTTAGTTTCCTGAAGACGTCTCCCATGACATTTTAGTATACTTAACATCGTAAAATAGTAAAATATTGGTTAACCAAAATGCAGTTGAATTAGGGCTGTAGCGAATTGGACGTTTTCCGAAATGGACGTATATATGGAAATTGATAAAGAGGTATAAATTCAACATAATTTGAATTTATACATCTTAATCAATTTCTACATATACAAACATTCAAGTGAAAGTAAACATACATTAAAACATACCTACAAAATGAAAACACATGTGTGATTATATGCACACGCTGCACATGTTAACATATTTTGAGAAACAAATTTATCAATCACAGTGTTTGGTTTTATTTAATATTTAAATATAATTAAGATATAAACAAGATACTCGCATCCATCAGATCTTACCAGCGATACAAATGTAACTCAAATATCATTGTTAGCCAACGTTTCATAAGAAGTTTTTTGAAAGTGTTTCTTTCCACAGCATTAAAAAATAATTCAAAAACGTATGGAAAGTTTCTATAAAAAGATCTAAATGTAACACCAGCAATAGAAAAAAATAATCAAAATGAAATCAAAGCAGGCTAAACACACTAACAAGCCAAATTTCTATTACCCGCAAACAGCAGCCTGTCACCAACAACAATTACATATAATTTCAAGTTGCAAGTTTAACAAGAACAAAGCAACAGACCAAATAACAAACAACATGATATAAACTTTCAATTGGACCTACCAGCCGATTGTCCACAGGCAACATAAAACCTTAGCGTCTGTCCTTTCGAACCTTTCACCAATCCATTTCCGTAGGCCGATATCAGGTGCTGCTTGTCAGTTGCATCTACATGCACTTTCAGAGGGTAGCCTGATTATTATGATGATGATGATGAAAAAGAAGAAGATGATGGATGATGATGATGGTATGACAGATTGTGAAGTGGATGATAAAGATGATGGTGATAATGTAACTGATGATAATGGTGTTGATGAATAGGTTGTTAGGGGTGGTTGGTAATTGAATTAACATAACAATGATAAATTTACGTTGATAATAACAAACAATGTTATTAATGTATCCAATACAAATTTCTCTATAATCAACTTAGCCTCCCTTTATCGAGTTTAAAAATTGTTAACACTTTGTACAAATAGTGCACACATGACTCAATGCTTTCTTGCAACTTTGTTTTAATTTCAACTGAAAAATGTGAATTGAATGTTCTGGTGTCTGGTGTGCTTGTTTAATTAACCGACAATGCCATCTACAAAGGTTACAGAAAATTGTCTTTGAATTATCAATAAAAGCCATTGTCAAATTTTTTATCAATTTATTTGAATATTAAATATATTTTGCTTTACGATTTAAAGTTTGAATCAAATACGAAGGTAAAATCATTTGAACTCGTTATTAACATGAAATAAACGCAAAATGAAAGCGATCAAATATTTATTATTTTATGTTAACAAATAATACAAAATGATTTTCACATTCACCCTCTTGATGCGGTATCACAAACTGTTAAGAAACCAACTTCAAACATAGAATGGATCATAGAGAATAATTATCATCAAATTAGCCAACGTCGTTGAATGACATAGCAACTGATGGTTTAAAAACTGAAAAAAGGTGTTGTATTATGAACAGCAACAAAAAATCGAAACGGAAACGAATGTTATGAAAATGTGACCTTCAATGGTGACTTCATCGTAAGTCATGTTGATGTCATGCGTGCCTGATTCACGTGGTGTGTACTCCAGCGTCAACGTTCCATCGTCGTTGCTCTCTATGTGGGGCGCTATTTGCGACGGCATGTCGGATGTTGGAGTACTAGGTTTTGTGGTTACTTTTTGATGATGCTCCCACTGCGTGTTTTCAAGTTAGTTGCTGCGGCTCAACTCGTTGTTAAGGTTGTCCAAATTGTGTTGGCTGGAAAGTCATTTGAAAATTTTTTTTAATTTTATGTTTAATTTTATGTTTATATTAGTCTGTCTATATACCGAGCGATGTTTTTTACAAAATCATTTAGTAATAAAAAAAAGTATATGTGTGCGTGTATAGCTAAGCGCCCTTTAGATTGTTCTACGGGACGTAAACGCCTGAACCGTTCTTCCAAGCTTCCGACCAGAAAATCCGAAAACGAGCCGTATCTCTTATTCTAAAGCTAGACAAGATTTTCGTTAGTTACTTTAAAATATTTTGATTTTACTAAGCGCGGCAGCTATCGACTTTGATCGCTACGACTCAAAACATTTTGCAATATATTACTGCAAATTTTTTTTCTTTTATTGTGGTGTTTTTTCAACTTATTTGTATGTACCCAAACATAAAATTTAATAAAATTTGTAGTTTACAGCACCCATCGTTTTTTAAAAATTTAAAAATAATTACAGCACTCAAATTTTAAATTCAACTGAAAATTTTAACTTAAAAAAACGAAACTCTGTCGAACAAAAATGTATTTAAATAACAAAATCTCAGTCTCAGAAATATTAAGTATATTCATTTTCAAAAATTATTAATCATTTATCAAAATTAAAATGCGTCAAAATTTAATAGAAAGCTTAGCTCGAACAACGCTAGTAATTTTTTTGAAATATTGTACTGACTTCAGCTTAATCTAGACACTATGGTTTAGTTTCAAAGAAGATGAAAATTTTCTTTAGGGAGACCTTCGAAAACTAAAAATTTAGAAAAATGAAAATTTATTACAATTTAAAAAAGTCTTATTGTAAAAACGTTAATAAGAAGATCGAGAAGACGAGTCGGCAGAGGACGGTGACAAAAACTCGTCTACGCCATCATCCTTGAAAACTCAGTTTTAATAACTTTAATTTGAATAACTTTAAAAATATACACAGGCTCCCGCCTAAAATACGTAGGGCTCTTTTTAATTCATGGGCCTGATGTGAGTGGGTACAGCTAGTATTGAAATAAATAATCTGGTATCTTATGAAATTATGAAATTTTCAGAGTTGTCGACAACAATGCAATTAGCATATCAGCGAGGACATCTGAAACGATGCTAACGAGATAATTTTTGATGCTGTTGTTGCTTCTGTTTTGTTTTTGGTGACAATTAATTAAACAACAACTTATATTTTTGTTGATGTAATTGCAACAGATGATGCACCAAGAAGTTAATAAGATTCCACGTATGTTCGTTCCAATAATAAAAACTTATTCGTGACGGACTATCTCGACGTGAGGTTGTTGCATGGTTTATGATTGTTCGATGTTGGTTGTTTTTGTTTTTTTGTTGATGCTGTTGTTGTTGCACTTTGAAAAAATTGAAAACAAAATAACCTGTTTAAAATCCAAAATTTATAGTTTGAAAATTTTATAAAAACTTTGCAGTGATACACTGCACTACAAGCAATTATTTTCTTTCGAAACAAATTTCAAATATTTTACTCTCACAACATAAGAATTTTTCTTTTTCAAGATGAAGTGCCAGCGAGAATAAAGTTTTTGGTGTATTACATCACGTACTATGAATGCATAGAGGTATACGAACATTACATAGGCATACATACATTATACATATATGCATACACTGTATATATATATAAATATATATGTATATAATATATGTTTTATTTTTAAACATATGTACACAATGTATGTATTGATGTATACTAATGTTTATTAATGTATGTGCGCCGAAATCTAGATATGTGCGTGTTTTGTATTATGGTGTTTCACCGGCAAACATAAATACATTTTTCAACGTCCTGTATAGTTACTTTTTATTGCTTTGTTATTCTGTGTTATGCTCAGTTGAATGTTCTAAATAAACATCACGTTTATTTTCTCCCATAATCTTCTGACGTCTTTAAAAACTTTCACGGAGCGTTTGAGAGCTCATGTCTTCATACACGGAGCAAACATGCTACATAATTACAAAACTCAACTGAATACAAATAATTGAAACAAATGTAAATTGCAACTGGTTCATCTTCTACTAAACAAATAAATAACAACGTAAAATACTGAACGCCAAAAATGCAAAGTATAAATGATGAAGAAGATAACAAAAAGTTCTGCAGACACGCTGCACAAGAAAACTTTCAACAACATATCGGCCAATTTTTATCCTCGTCGTCGTCGCCATCATCCTCATTTTTCATCATATTTTTCGTAATTCTTCATCATCTTCATCATTCTTCATCATAATTCATAATTATTTCATTCAGAATCGGACTGATGATTACAAGTTATTTCATCGCTTTCATCAATGTTTTTAATTTTGAAATTATAATCAAAAAAGAACATTGTATTTTTTTTTGTTGTATGTTGAAGATTTTAAATAAATTTTACCTGGTTCGGCAACATGTCAGAATGACAATAAAATCAAAATTATTGCGTCATAACTTAAATTTAAATCATGAACGTCAACTTTCTCAAATTTACTTTGTACTAGCAATTCATAAACATAATTTGTTATCGTAACTTTTCAATCATCATATCCTTCTCATCATTTTCATCATCACTATTATCACATATATTAATATTATCAGCTTATCGGAATAAAATTATCCCGTCAAAACAATCATTTTTATCATCACCATAACAATCGTCATCATCTTCACCATCATCGTCATCTTCACCATCATCTTCATTATTGAGGCATTCCCTTAACATGAGAACACCATGTGAATGTATAGTCGTTGAAAGGTAAAATGCACATTGCCAATTGCGAACAGCTGATAGAACATTCTGCGCGTGTGCTTTAAGAATATTTCATACAACCGTGCAGGACTGAAAACGTTCAAACGTAACAAACTTTGAAACGTACAAAAATGTATCTATAGATACAAATGCTTGTATACAAACATACATTCATAGATACAAGCATACAGACGTACATCTATCGATACAAACATTAATCCACTGATACAAATACTTACAAACAAATATGCGTACAAAGAAAGAGGTAGAAAATAATTATTTTAAAGCGCGTTCCACCTAGGCAGTGTAATCTGGTTGTTCTTTCATTAACTTGATGAGTCATTCGTAGCATAACATTCAATTCATGCAGTGGCTCAGTTTTTTGTTTGTTAAATATTTCGTTGAACATTGGTGTAAAAACACGCGAGCTATCAAACATTAAACTTACATAAATGTTATGAAAGCGAATACGAACAATTTTCATTTAAAGGAATCTATTAAAAAATAATTATTGTTATGAAAATTCAGTACACTAAAATTAGCAAACTAATTATGCACTGAAACTAAAAGCATGTTGTATTTTTAGTTTTTGAAGAATTCAACTGGAGGGAAGAAGTAATTATTTTTCTTACATGATATTCTCTCGTGTAGTTAGAACATTCCACGTTTGAAGCACTTTTTGTTAGTAGATGGAATATTTAGAATGTGAAAACTAACAAAAGTAACAAAAGTATTCATGTACCTCTCTACTACTTCACTGCTACGAACATTAATGAAATTTTTTACTTTATTTTATAATTGGGGTAGAAGTGGCGGATCAAGACAACATTGACGGGGGGGAGGGCCAAAATTTTGAAGGGGGAAAATTTTTTGGTAATGTGGTCAAAATTTTACTTACGATCTTTTTTGGGCTTATAATGTCACTTTTCCTTCAAAAACGTTACTTTTTTAAAAACATTAAAAGCGAGAACGGGTTGAGATGGGCGGATAATTGGTGGCTGGGATGAAGTTATAAACGCGCAGAATTCTTCATTAAAGTAGAGATAATTTTGCATCGTTTAATACAAAGGGCCATGAGTATTGATAATATAAGGTTTTTGTGTTTTTTATATTCGAGGCAGTTTTTAATTTAAATTTTAGAAATTTATTTGAAAGTAATATATTTGAAGAGTAACGAGAAAGTTGTAGATTGGTTATGATCGTAATAGAAATAAACATCACAAAATTGATTACAAATAATTTTATTATTTCATTTTAAATAATAATAATCTTTATTATATTTGTCACCAATATTCATCACTAAACATCATGCTTTGTAATATCGTTAACAGTGAAAATAATATAATTTAATAATATTAGCTTGAAAATTCAAGCAAACGCTGCTAAAAACAGTAGTAATAATTCAAATTATAACAATAACAAGAACTGTTGTAGATGAATATTCAGGATTATCAATGAAACAACTTATATACACACAATGTTGATAGCCAACAATACTTCGAACAAATTTTTCTACACGCACCTGTCTACTAATACGAATGAATCTAACGAGAGTAAGAAAAAGACATCATGTAATAATTAGTTATAATGTTTCCATTATTGGAAACAAATAAAATTATGTCCGCTAAAAACGTTTCCATTAAAACTTTTTTCCAAGAACAGTGGCATCAACAAATGGGATTGTTGAGAAATGCCCAGACCCATCCATTTATCCGTCCATCTATCCGTATCCCTACCTATCTATCAATCTATCCATCCATCTATCCATCCACTTATCTATCCATCTATCCATCCATCCATCTAATCATCCATCCATCTATCCATCCAATCATCCATCCAACCATCCATCCATCCATCCATCCATCCATCCATTTATCAATCAATGGTCCTCTTCTCAACATTTCCATTCTTGCAAACTATCGTGCCTCAGGCATGCATATATGAACTCAATAAATAAATAATATATATATATATATATATATATATATATATATATATATATATAATTATGTGTGAGTATAATTACATTGATATTTGTTGTATTTATCAGGAAGGGAGAGCCATTGAGAGATAGAGAGAGAAGCAGAAATTTAATAAAGAAAATAAATATTTATATTAAAAAAGTAATTAGAATATTACCGTG